TTTTAGGGGGTTTTGGATTGGCAGTACAATCTAGGTAAAAAATTCCTTTTATTTGAGACATAATCCAGATTAGGATTTTGTTGTCCTTATGTAAAGCAAAAAACATTTTGCCGCCTGTTCTTACTCTTCATCCCATCCAGTTCTTCCAGGGCCCTGGAAGATACAATAATCTGATTTATCCAGTTTGAGTTTGTGAAATGCTCAGCTATACAGAATCACAAACATCACATCAATTGCTGTCTTTCAAGTACTTGTTGGTATCTACCTCTCCAGTGTGGTTTACCAGCATCTTAATGTGTGTATTCACTGCTGCATGCCCCCTGCTGCTTCACTGTAATAATTTCTTCCTTCCTGCTGTCTGAATTTTCTGACATGACGAAACACTTCATTTGAGACTCCTGGTTTTCTACCACTTCTTAGTGATATTATGTACAAAACACACACCAGCCCTTAGCTTTCCTCAGAGCAGTGTTTTGAGAGGCCTTCTTGCCCCTCAGTTTAGGTGCTTCCTGATTTTTAGCTAGTTGTTGCTCTGTGTGATGTGTTCCAAATGATTTCTCAGTGGCTGGATGTTTGTTTGCTGCATTTGAGATGAAACTTGAATTTTAAATGAGGTAGATTGTAATCTGAATTTCTGTCTGGACCTTGCGGTGTTTTTCTTGGATGAGAACTCCAGTTTTCTCCTGTTCCTGTGCGATGATATGATCAATCAACTGATCAAAAGAGGTACAATTCTATTTTCCCATCCTGTGGTGGTGAAAGAAAGCATTTGCAAGGATAGAATGAGATTCTCCAAGCAGAGCTCATTTGTTGATCTCACTCTCTCCCATCGCGGTTTTGATCGGGAACAACTTTTCCCCTTGCGAGACTGAAATCCCACGTTCTCAGCAGCATGTTGTATCAACAGTTCTTGTGTTCATCTCTTGACCTCAGTTTCAGTAACCTGTGTTTTTTTGCAGGGCATTTACCATCAAATTCTTCTTTCTTTCAAATGACACTGTGAAATTACCCTGTTTAATTTCATTGTTTAAATGGGCACTGATTTTTAAGTGTATTACATCTGGGTATAGGTTTTGTCTGGATATTACCTGTGTAGGACATAATCATAAATTATCCAGACTGTCTGCAAAGCCACTTAAAAAATCCCAAGCCAACCCAAAACCAAAAGAATAGGGGTTAAAGAATAGGGGTTTTCATGGTATAAGAAGAAAAATCACACTCTTTGTACCTCACCTGTAATTCAGTTTCATATTATCTGTGAAATTATTTCTTTATTTCTGGATTGTCAGATTAGGTCTGTGTTTCCTTAAATTAAAGTGGTTCTTGATGACATCACTGAGGATTGGGTTTATCCCAGTAAAATAAGCAGTATGTAGCAAAAAGTTAGCCTGTTCTGAATTCACTTCTACATCTGCCAGTCAGTAGTTACTGAAAAGATTTCTTTCTTTTATTTTTCCTCCTCTTTTCCCCTTGGCTAGTTCAGCATTTTCAACCATTTTGCTTATTTTCAAAGGCTTACGCCTGAGGGATTAAGATCTACATTCGTTTAATATTGGGAATAAAGTGGAAGTTCCAGACTGCAAGGCTAAAACTTGAAGAAGGATCTTTGTAGAGATTAATATTTTCCTGAGCAATCTGCGAGCTGAATCATGGTCTAATTAAATAGCACAGATTTATTGAGTTTGCATTTAAACATTGGCAGACCCTAGAATGGGTAAAGCTGAAATGAGTTTGAATCTTTGCTGTAAATGGGGAGTTAAATTATCATAGTAATTTGATTACATAATTTTTAAATCTTTCAAGCTAAATGGCCATTTTAAAAGAACAATTTGAAGTCTTAATCACTGTTGGAAGGGCCCCTCTCTCTGTGTTTTTTTCTTACCCCATTTCCTGTGACCAGATCTGTTCCCCAAGGCACAGCTTCCTGAACTGCTCCATGAACCACCATTTGGCTGTGGAGCACTTGCATTAGGGCAGCAGAGAACTGGCTAGTCTCATTCTTCCCAACTGCTAAATAGATTTCAAAGACAGCAACAAATACATTAAAAGCTTTACTACTATTACTTTTCCATATAAGTAGTTACTCTGTTTACTGGAGGGATGGTACACAATCACCCCTGCGAGGAGAGGGTAAGACTCCTTGGGTTTGGACACAACGGTAGAGTTTTGAGAGCACAGAGTGTAGTAGCTGTGTTAAAAAGCAGGATTTGATGTGTTTTCTGGGGGGTGTTCTCTTCCTCTTTCTTCTCCTCACTCAGTGTCATTGTAAGAAATATGCAGAGTGTAGATATTTCTAACACTGCAGGCCAAACTGCTATCCAGTCTGTAGAGTTAAACATCTTAAGCAAGTGAAAAATATATTAGTCTGGAATCCATCCATCATCTATTTTCAAACTTGGTTACAGTTGCAAATACTGATTCTGGGAAGAATCAGACCAGTTTTCTAAAGGTTTAAAACCTAAACCTTTGTAGTCACAATCTCCAGAAAGACCTGTCTCTTTATGCAGTATAGTGTAAAAAAAAAAAGTCTTGAAGACAGTCTTTAACTCACCAAAGATTTGTTGCAGAAAAATTGCTCCTATTTGGTTCCCCAGCAAATCTGGCCCTGGCACTGTGAATCTGGGGAGAGGAAGAAAAGATGTGTAATTTCTGCACAAACAGTGCATGGTTTATGAAAGCGAGAGACACAGATCTTGTGTTCTGCAGCACAGAAGTGAATAGCCAAGGGCTTGGGAAAGGGTTAGGGAGTAAAGACAACAATTTGTTTGGAATTTGCTTTCCAAGTTAAGCCTGGTGGCTGGACACTGCTTAAGACATCAGTCACGTCTGCATGTGTGTTTGTGTGTTTGTGTGTGTGTGTTAGCATGTCTGTATTGATTACATATGTTTGTAGGACACAGAATTCAGGGGTTTTCTCTTATTGACATAGAATTATTAAATAGAATTATGATATTAGAAAGCTATCAAAAATGTATGGATTTGGGGAATCGTCTCATGTCAATTAGAACTAAATTTTGCTAGAGGTAGTACTTGCCTGTCATCTTTTTTAAAATGTTGTAGCCTTCTTTGCCCCTAAGAGAGATATTTCTGCATCTCTGCTTTCAGCACAGGGTACCTTGATGTGCAGTATCACATCCCTGCAGCGTTTGTCTTAGTTGCATGCTTCTTAGAGCATGTATTCACTAAGACTCAGAATTATTAAACATGTAAAATTCCCATAGGACTCCATTATGTGTAATTAACAGATAAACTGTCATCAGAATCAATAAAACGTGCTAAATGATCCAAACTTGTATATAATTAAGTGTCTGTTTTAGAGTGGGAACTGTAAGTTTTATTTTTTTTTTTCTTTTCAATTTGCACATTTGTTTTGACAATAGAAGCTGGAACATTTTTGTTAACCTGTTACTTACCGGTTTGTATTTTGGTTTACATGTTTGTATTTGGAAGGAGAGAGGTATTTACTATTTTGCCTAATTATCTGAGGAAGCACGTCAGCTTTTAGGAAATGAATCTTAGATGCCTCTTATTTCCCTGAATGTAATTCAGATATTTGAAGCATGTGTAAAACTTGATGTTTAATCATCAACAGGGTAAAACATGAGGCTTTGTCAGACACTGATCCAAGGCATCAGGCTGCTGAATACAGGTCTTGGAAACAATAATAGAAGTCGGTTCTTCACTATCCAGCTCCTCAGTTATTATTCTGTCTGGGAATGGTAATGGAAAGCAGCGTTGTGCTAACTAGCGTTTTCAAGAATAAACTAATTTTGCCATGTCCCATTTTCACCCTGAGCAAAACTTGCACCGTGTAGCCTGTCCTGAAGACTTGTACTCCCTCACAGCACTTATGTTTTCATATGGTGTTTTACTGGTTCTGTAAGTTTGTCAACCATCCGCATTTTGGTAGCTGATAGGAGCTGTTTGGTGACCCCTTTCACCTTTGACTGTTCTTCCTTACTTGCATTCACCTCCCTTTGGACTACATCAGGGCTTTTCTGGCATTTATGACTACATAAAAGTCAGAGAATTAGGGCTGCTCATCCAAAGTCATCTCAGCATGGTCCAGTAACTGCGTATTCTCAGGGACATCTTCCCTTTCTGTATCTATACAGTTGCGGGTTTTACAGTTATTTCAGTTAGATCTTTTCTTTTTATTTCACACTTCCATTGCTTTACTCTTTCCAGGTCATGTAGCAGTTTAGTTTAGTTCCTGATGTGTGTTGTGTCTAGGCTTGTCACTCAATACTTACACCACCAAAGCATCTCACCTGGAAAGGTACAGGGCAAGGTGTTTCCATTGAGTGTTTTATAAAAAATGCAAAACCCCGACACTAACAAGATAAACCACCGTCTGAGTGGGTGGGAGAGAAGGATTACACCTTGTAGGAGATGTTAGCTTCACAGAACAAAAGCTGTTCAGGAACATGCTAAGTGTTGCCTGTCTGTCTGAATATGCCTGAGAGAGAAAAAAAAAGTAGCTAAACCTAGTAGGAAATCCCATCAAACCCGCATTTCCCTGGTGTCGGTGCAGTGGTCCTAATCCCACAGTCAGCGTCTCTGAGCAGCGAGTAACGACCACAGCTTCCAACTCGGCAGCCTTGCAACCTGACGCTGAGTGTTACTGAGCTTTTCCACAGCAGGGCAGTCATCCTTGCTTCCCTGATAGAACACAGCCCTCCATTCATTCAGCCCTCTGGTGCTGTCATTTCTCCAAAGCAGTAACCGTAAAGATGGTTTGCGGAGCACCGGGGGTGACTGTTTTACTTGTTCGAGAGGGATGAGGAGAAGAATTACTTACCCGAGAGTTAATTGTGCGTTTGTAGTTCCATGGCATTTCCATATACTTTGCTGAAGGTCAGTATAGAAATTAGTGGGTAATTATCTTCCTGCTTTGTGAAAGGGGATGGACAGAACCAGTGACAGTGTCGTGCAGCCGTAGCGTTATCAAACTTCTGGCACACCAAACTGAAACCTCCTGTTGCTCTTTTGTTTTGCAGACTCAATGCACATAGAGGATGTTGAGGCAGTGCAGAAACTTCAGGATGTCTTACATGAGGCTCTGCAGGATTATGAGGCTGGGCAGCACATGGAAGACCCACGTCGTGCAGGCAAGATGTTGATGACTCTCCCGCTTCTGAGGCAAACCTCCACCAAGGCTGTGCAGCATTTCTACAACATCAAACTGGAAGGCAAAGTCCCCATGCACAAACTTTTTTTGGAAATGCTGGAGGCCAAGGTCTGACTAAAGCATCATGGGCTTCCCCATCATGCACGTTTTAAAAAAAAAAAAAAAAAAAAAAAAAAAAGGGAAAATAAACAGGATAATAATGGCAAAGAAACTTAGTGTTTAATTAAGGAAAAAATGACTGCACTGATATTTAGCAGCAAGACTGTGAAGCAGCTTTCAACTTTTTCTTCTGTGTCTTTCTGATGCAGTTTTTTCTTTTCCTTTTCCTTTCCTCTCTTTTCCTTTCTGTTCTTTCCTTTCCTTTTTTCCTTTTCTCTTTTTTCCTTTTGCTGCTGAACTTTTTAAAAGAGGTCTCTAATTGAAGAGAGATGGAAGCCAGGCCTGCCAAAGGATGGAAATCCATAATATGGATGCCAGTGAACTTATTATGAACCATAATGTCCCCAATGACAAAGGAATCAAAGAGAGAACCACCGTACCTAGCAGTACAGTACAACACGATGAACTGACTGAATGCAGTATTAGATTTCATAGGAGCAGTCTCTAATTAGACGACTAAGCGACGATGCATCGGCTGCTTCTTATCATTGCATTTTCCATCTAGATCAGTTACAGCCATTTGATTCCTTAATTGTTTTTTCAAGTCTTCCAGATATTTCTTAGGTTAGCTACAATGTAACTTTTTCAGGGAATAGTTTAAGCTTTATTCATTCACGCAATACTAAAGAGAAAGAAATACTGCATTTTTGTGCTGGCTTGAACAATGATGAACAATAATGAAGGACAAATGAATCCTGAAGGAAGATTTTTTTAAATGTTTTGTTTCTTCTTACTAACGGAGATTTTTTTGTACCAGCTTTACCAGTTTTCAGCCATTTATTAATGTGGGAATTTATCTTACTAAAGCAATAGTCGAAGGGAAGGTGCATATTATCACGGATGCAATTTATGTTGTGTGCCAGTCTGGTCCAAAACATCCAGTTTCTTAACATGAGCTCCAGTTTATAACTAAATGTTCACTGACTCAAAGGATTAGATTACACCTGCAGTATATCCGAGTAGTCTAACATATAAATACTCCATGTCGAATACGAATCCGTAACGGTGTTAGGAGACAGCGACCGTACAAAGGTGTGGTCGCTACGTGATTTCTAACTGCTTCAGTTGCAAATGAACGAGATACTGCCTGTTTGCAAAATTATAACCTCACACGCAGAAAAACCCTATGAACCAATAGTAGCTTAGAGGCAATGAGGCAAACGCCGCCGTTCGCAAAATTAAGAAATCAGAGTAGTAGACTTCTGACCAAATTTGAAGAATTTAACACTTCTATACCTTATTTATTGATTTAGACTTTATTTTGTAAATGGCGAACCTTAACAAGTAGCTAAACCAGTATATGTGCTTTTCAACCAGTATTGTCACAGCATGAAAGTCAGTCAGTTTCAAGACTGTTACGAGGTGTAATCTAATGTATAAACCGATTAGATGCCCCCAGAAAACTACAGTCGCTAAATAGCCAATAAACAATAACCTCCATCAAATGCTATACCAATGTACCAGTGTTAGTAGCTGCTCCCTGTACTATGTGAACATCCTTATTCTATGTACACAGATGTAATTAAAATTGTAATCCTAACAAACAAAAGAAATGTAGTTCAGCTTTTCAATGTTTCATGTTTGCTGTGCTTTTCTGAATTTTTATGTTGCATTCAAAGACTGTTGTCTTGTTCTTCTTGTGGTGTTTGGATTCTTGTGGTGTGTGCTTATAGACACAGGGTAGAATTAGAGACAATATTGGATGTACAATTCCTCAGGAGATTACAGTAGTATATTCTATTCCTTACCGGTAATAAAGTTCTTCCTAGTAATAATTAAGAGATCAAAACTCCAAACAAATACTCGTTATGAACAGATACACACTGAAATCATAATATTTTCAAAACAAGGGATAATTTCTGTAACAGTTTATTATAGAATACCAATGTATAGCTTAGAAATAAAACTTTGAATATTTCAAGATTATAGATAAGTCTAATTTTTAAATGCTGTAAATATAGCTTTTATTCAATCATCTCTCAGATGTTGTTATTAACTCGCTCTGTGTTGTTGCAAAACTTTTTTGGTGCGGACAAGTTTCCAAAACTATTGCTACGTTGTGTGCTTTAAACAAAATAACAATGGGCCGATGCTCCGTTGGCCTAGTGCTAGGAAAAAAAAACAAACTGTGTATCTATCATTAGCTATATGGGACTATATTGTAGATTGTGTTTTCTCAGTAGAGAAGTGACTGTAGTGTGATTCTAGGTAAATCATCATTAGCAATTCATTCAGATGGTCAATAACTTGAAATTTATAGCTGTGATAGGAGTTCAGAAATTGGCACATCCCTTTTGAAAAATGTCAAAAAAAAAAAAATACAACTCCTGGGAAAAAGGTGCTGATTCTATAAGATTATTTATATATGTAAGAGTGCAAAAAAAAAAAAGTTTATTTTCCAGAAAGTTTGTGCAGGGTTTAAGTTGCTACTGTTCAAGTACACTATATATATATAAATATATAATATAAATATTGTTTTTGCTGTATCACATTAAAGAACTTGGGCTTCAGGGTCAAAAGCCAATCAACTAGAAGTATACAAAACCACACAAAAAATGGAGATGTGTTAAAGGCACACGGTGCAAACTTTAGTTTTCCTTTTCCGTAATTTTTTGGAGCTGCAAAAGAACAAGTATATCAAGACTGTAAAACCATTACCTGAAACTTAGCTAAAAAAAAAAACTGCACGGGCTTTATAATGTTGTTCATCTTAAACCTTGCTGGAGAAGAGTTCTTTCAAGACCACTTACTTAATGTGAAGTGTTGGGAAAATTTCAAAGGGTGTATGTTTTAGCCATAACAATTTAATTTCTATTTTTGCTTCATTTTTTAATTTTTTCTTATTTAAAGCAATATGATTGTGTAACTCCCAGAAGTTACACATTTGTTTCAATCAGATCAGATTGTTGTATTTATTCCACTATTTTGCATTTAAATGATAACATAAAAAAGATATAAAAAATTAAAACTGCTATTTTTCTTATAGAAGAGAAAATGGGTGTTGGTGATTGTATTTTAATTATTTAAGCGTCTCTGTTTACCTGCCTAGGAAAACATTTTACGGCAGTCTTATCGTGCAAAGATCGCAAAAGGACAAAAAAAATTAAACTGCTTATAATAATCCAGGAGTTGCATAATAGCCAGTAGTTAAAAACTGAAACAAAACAACAAATGAAAACAAACATGTCTATAGCTGTAGATGGGCTTCACATCTGTATAGCAATCAACTGTATATTTTTGTGATGTGTATCATACCGTGTGCTCCAACCAATGTCCATTTGTGTAAATGTATTTATTTTATATTGTATATATTGTTAAATGCAAAAAGGAGATATGATTCTGTAACTCCAATCAGTTCAGATGTGTAACTCAAATTATTATGCCTTTCAGGATGATGGTAGAGCAATATTAAACAAGCTTCCACTTTTGATTGCTTTTATTTTATTTTTTGTGTTGTGGGGTTTTTTAGTTTTATTTTCCTTTTTTGGAGGAGGAAACAGAGCAATTAGTATTACCTTTTGTTACTTCCATTCAAAACAGAGCCAGTGTTAGCACTTCTCCCTTAAAGTACAGTATGAGTGTAAATAAATGCTATATAAAGCCTTGTCAAAATGAATTCCAGTGTGGTACAAGACATTTTGCATACTCTTAAATATGCAAAATGTCTCATAGCACATTAGAATTCAGGCTGGCAGGCCTTTATATAGCACTTATTTAATCTTAAAGCATCTTCACATCAACCTGCATTACTCAAAATCATTGCCTTTCTGTCAATGCCATAAAAGAAAACTTTCCCACTATTTTAAGATCGCATTAATATCGTATGGAAGTACTTCTTTTGCTTTCACCATCAACAGCTGAGTCAATCATTCATTTCCTACTGCAGGAGACTTCTTTAATGTGTTCTGAGTAAAAGTAATAAAAATAAATAAATAAAAATCTGCATTACTTGATCCAGCGTTGCTGAATGGAAGTAAGTAGCCACCAGAGCAATAATATAGATTGGTGTTAATGAAGGGCACCGATAGCTGTCAGGATCCAGGCGGGTTAAACAGTGCAGCATCAAACTGGCCATAAATGGCCTCTTCCCTCCGAGGGGCTGCAGCCCCCCCTCGCTCGGGGCCAGCCCCTCTTTCCTGTGGACCCTTCTGGAACCATCACAGAAGTGCTAATGTGTGCTTTTCTTGCCTTTTAGCCTATCTTGATAGTGTTTTGTCGTTGTGTTTGCCAACGTATTTCTCACCTTCACTACTGGCCATTCTCTGGAGGTTCTGGCTGATGGCACAGAGGCTGCTGAACACAACGGTGATGCTCAGGGACGGGAATTGTGTCAGCCAAGGTACCGGGGCAGCACCGCGGGCTTTTTGTGCTTCACAGTCTCTAAGTAGAAACGTGCCTTGGAATGGGAGGGCACCCCTTCCCTGCTGCTAGTACTGTCTGTGTTTTAGCTATGGTAGGATATAAGGGGAGAGGGGTTGAGTAAAAGGAGCAGCAGAACAATAGGAAGATGAATCTTGTGGGGACTCTTTGAAGACATTCAGAATTGGGTTTTAGTGTTGCCACTGCTCCACACACAGGCTTACATACATGTATGCATGCACAGAGCTGGTTTCCCCCCTTTTTATACTGCTCTCATTTTTAATTATTGCAAAGTAGCTCTTCAATAGAAAACCCAACATAACACCTTAAAAGTGAAAAGAACAGTGTTAGAATTTCTCACACACAAAGGGGAAAAAAATTTGAACAGGGGCACTCCTAGTCTTCCTCGCCATGTGATTGACTCTAATGTTTGGCTAAAGTTTTCACGTACAATTAAAAAAATTATAGTTTCTGCACCATTTTTCATGAGAGGATCAGAAGCACCATCCAATCAGAAACAGCATTACAGAAATAAAAATGCAGGGAACGCTAAGATGACACCACTTCTAGGAATACAGCTCTGCAGAACTATTCTGGGTTTTTTCTTTCTTTCTGTCTTCTCCCTACTCTGTCTCTGCAGTAAAGACAGGATAGGCACAGAAATCCATGGGAAATGCTTCAGGAGGCAGTAATGTTTCGTAGGAATCTGTGGGGAATTGGCTAGGAGTACAAAACTGCAAAAATAGTTACTAAGTCCTTAAGGAAAACAAAAATAGGGCTTGGGATTCTGGCATTTGGAGTTCGACCAACACACCCTGCTGTAGCTCTCAACTGCTGCAACCCCAACCTGTGGCTACCTTAACACCACTCGGCTAAAATACGGAGATGGCAAATGGAGAGAGCTTTCCCATTAAATGGGATATGGCTTGGCTCAGTGAAATCAGGTTTTGACTGACATGGTTTACATCGCCCTTCCCCTCCCCTACTTGCCCCGCCCTCCCAAGAGAAGAAGCCATCCCAGGCCAAGAGCACAGTTTTGCCTCCGGAGTTGCTTGTTTTTACAGCCTCCTACCCCTGCCACTGTGCCAGCCTGGCCGTGGAGTGCTCTGCTGCCCCACGCTGTGACGCTGGCACCCGTGCCCGCTCCCACGCTGGCCGATGCCGTCAGTAGCGATGCAAAAGGAAAACGCTGCTGGCTGAGCTGGCTCCTAAATGGAATGGGATTTATGACAGGCTCCAGTTTTCTCTGGAGCTTCAAGTAATGGCTTAACTTGATGACATTTGGGCTCTTCAGATGGTTGGTGGGGTTTTTTTTGACTACCTGAGTTTGCAGTATGAAAGAGTCTGGCAAATACCCATAAAAAGTGGTCTGGTGTGGTCCCTCCAGTTGATCCTTTCTCAGTGAAAGAAACGACATAAAAATCATGTGCTAGTCAGTGCTGTTGCACATGCAGTTATGTTTGCTTCTTAATACACAATGTCAATGCTGCTGAAAGAGTAACCGAGGTTAACTACAGATAAAAAAGCCAACCACCAAAAGCAAAATGAAGTATTATGAAAGATAACAGAGACAGAAGTACTGTCCTTAGACAAGCTCTCATGTTGTATATATTTAAGTGTCCTGCAGCATTGCCCAGTCATGCCCCACTGGGGAAAAAACAAAACCTAAGCACAAAAACACCAGAGGTTTTTTTTTATTGTACAGGCTTTTGCAGCAGAAAACAGCTCTTTTTTATTAACATTAACTGTCCTGGATCTTGCACTAAACTCAAGAATGGGACAGCTTCCATCTGTTTTCTACATTTTTTCCATAGCCTTTGTTAATTTTCCTTAACAGCTTTCTTGCACCTTTCCTTTACTTTGCATTTCATCTCTCTTGTGTAATGTAGGTCTCTGATTTCACATGGCACTTTGCTAATTACTGTATACTTCGTTATACATCCTGCCTGCCGTAGCTGCCTCACAAGGCGTGTGTTTTGTCCTTTCTGATGAAATGCTGATTCGTTGTGTCTATACATCGCCTTTATCATACAGATCACAGACTTCCTCCTTGTGTTTGCTGTTAAAGAAAGGGAAAAACCCAAGTAACTATGGAAAAGAATATGGATGCATTTATTTGCTCTCAACATTTTTATTCAAAAGTGTTGGCGCTGCCACATCCCGGCCATGCTAATCGTTAGTGTTTTGTTAAGATTAAGGGCTGCTCACTCCTCGTGTTCAGATTCCCAAGCCTGGCTCCTTACAATCTCTGTTAATATAAAGAAGCAAGTGGAGGTAGATTGATTACACGCAGGCTCTTATTATTAAGCAGAACAGAAAAGAAAGGAATTTCAAAATATAATCCTCCATTCCCAGGAGTATTTGTCTTGTTCTCCATGAAGTTAAAGGTCTGAAATAATGTGCCCATCAGGAGCTCAATGTTGCATGTCCATGCCAGTTGGTCCAAGGGCTTGTTATGATGGTAATGACCTGCTGAAACGTGAGCTTTGATGGCAACAATACAATTGCTACCAGCTCACCCGCTGGGAGAAATATTTTATTATTGTCAAATGCCCTCCGCAGAGATTTGTTTTGCCTGTTCCTGTTTAAATTAAATTCAGAGCAGAACTGCATTATTATTTCTCTAGAGTATATTTGAAATAAACAACTAGTCTCCAAATTTAGGATTCCTGGTTAGTTTAAATTTTCTTATTAGCAGAAAAATTACAATAGGTGACAACATAGCTGCAGGAATATTATTATGGCAGCCATACAAGAGATTTACACACTGAGAGCATGGCCTAAAAGCACAAGAACTCCCTTCTACTTTACAAATGCCAGCCAAATTAATAATTAACTGTGCCATAAATTGTCCAGCCTTCAAGAATGATGTCAATGCTCTTCTGTGTCACACTGGAGGAATTTTGTCATAGGACTAAGTGGTGTTCTTTATAAAGAGCGTTACTTATATGTAGAAAGCGGCCCAGGAAAACAGCCCTTGCCACTCCATATTACAGCAGCTCGGCAAACAAGTGACAGCAGGACTTCAGAGTCATTTACTGCTGCTTTCTCAAGGCAAAACTATCTCCTTACCCCTGTGAAACAGAGCAAATTTTGTTCCACATTAAATGGGCCAGATTATCTCTTCCACAAGCTAAAGAGACAACACTAAATCCCAGCTCATGTAATTTCCTTCAAAATTGTTCTGCTCGGTCTGGGTGTTCCCAGGAGCGCCACCAGCAGAATTATCCAGCAATTCAGCTGTACTTAAATTGGCAGATGTTGGAGATTTAAGACAGTCCCGGAGCCTTAGCACAAATCCTCTACTTCTGTGCTGCCTCGTGGCCTCTCCTCGCTCGCCAGCCGATGCCACTGTGGCTGCCGAGCAGCTGATCCTGTGGCCCCACAGCCTGCCGGGCAGTGTCACAATTGCCTTGTTTAATCCAGCACCCAGAGCCAGGAGGGCAGCAGAAGATACGCTGTGGGTTTGCATCTCTGTCTGCTTACAAACAGGCTCTTAACCCTGCATTTCTCATTCAAGTTGTGCACTTGCTGTTTGCCTTTTCCCTGTCTCCTGAGTGCTCATACCAGTGAAAAGCTGCTCCATCTCAAGACTGGGTGATTTTTGTGCCCTGCTTTGCTGAGAGATGCTTTTCCCAGAGGGGCACTTGAGCAGTGCAACACAGGCCTCTGAGCACGGGCAGGGTAAGATAATGGTGCAAGGGCAGGTTATCTACCCCACCTCAAGACGTGAATATCTTTTAGAGGAGCTGCCACACACCCAAAGAGGGAGGAACACTTACAGGGGAGGGAGGACTGCCAAGTACACTTCCCCTGCAGCGTTTCCCCCTTCAGCTGCCCTTACCAGCTCTTTGCACAAGCTTCAAAGCCACCCACAGCAGCCGTGGGATGGCCAGCAGAGAATGGGGACCGTTGCATCCAGAACTGCAAGCTGGTGTGGTTGAGGGGGGCAGTTTTTGCAAAGTACAGACGTTTGCCCAGCTGGGTGCGAGGGGAACCCACTGCAGTACTCCTCAACAGGCTTTTCAGAGAGAGAGTTAGAGGGTAAATGGCAAGTGAAAGGGGTTAAAA